TGCTGGTGATTGAACCAGTCATTATACCTCAGTGACACGAGGTTTGCGGGATTCGCCATTTCCACTGGTGATTGAATCGATTATTATCCCTTAGTGAAACGGGACTGTGCAGCGAGAAAGAGAGACTGCAGGCAGAGAGAGAGAGAATGAGTGAAAGAGGGAGAGAGAGAGTGAGTGAGCAGATTGAGAGTGAGAGAGTGTGAGGGCACAAGCGTGCGGCAGTGTGCAGGCGGTTGAAGAGGATGAGTGAGTGGCTGCTCACTCAAAGATAGAAGAGGTGGGGAGAAACTACGGGAAAATGCTTGCTGTCCGTGAGAGCGCCTATCACGATTTATTTATTCATTAAATTATTCGTCTGTTTATTAATTTAAATTCCTTGTTTAAGATCAAACTTCAACTGTCTTTAACCAAATCGTGAAACACTGTGGTAAGGTTAAGAAGTGTAAGCGTGCTCACAGATTCGTTGGGGGAAACAAGAGGTATGCCTCAGGGGTGAATGGGGGTTCGGCTTAATAGGTGCGAAAGTGAGAACTGGTAAGAATCTTTTGTTTCCCAAGCTTGCAGTTAAAGACTCACTATTGGTCCTGCAGATCTGTTGTTGGGGACGGGAGACTGGGAGAGAGTTGTAGCTTAGTACGGTAACCTCTATTGATGGACGGTAGGGTGATATTAGTCACTTCTTGTGTGCATTAAAAACAGTCATTAAGCTCAGGCTTGGCAGGGCAGCGCAAACTCCAGGTCCCAGCCGCTCGCTGAGGACCTCGGTAGCGGGCGCAGCGAGTGACAGACGTTGCTTCCGCGAGCGGTAGGCGCCCCTCCCCGGGTTTCCTCACACCGGTACCGGTCTGAAGCAGGCCAAGCCAAGCCAAGCCAAGCCAGGCCAAGTCCTATATTTAGCTGCTACAGTGCAGCGGCTCATCACTTGTTCAGTTGCGAGATGCGGAAGCGCTGCTGCTGCTTGTGCGTTAAGACAACTTGGGCACCGCACGCCAAGGTGACTCCATAGGTAGGTTAGCAGTAGAGCAGGAGGACAACAGCCATAGCCGCCAAGGTGTAAGCATACCTGAGTGGGTGTATCCAGGGTGACGATCTAGGTGGGTGGGAGAGAGAGAGAGAGAGAGAGAGAGAGAGAGAGAGAGAGAGAGAGAGAGAGAGAGAGAGAGAGAGAGAGAGAGAGAGAGAGAGAGANGAGAGAGAGAGAGAGAGAGAGAGAGAGAGAGAGAGAGAGAGAGAGAGAGAGAGAGAGAGAGAGAGAGAGAGGAGAGAAACCATAGCCGCCACCTGATTGCGATCCGTTGTGTGCGTGTGTGTGTGGCAGAGCCGCTGAAGACAAACATTCTTGTATATTGATAATAATATTGGAGATGACATCCTCAAGTGTTGATTGTATCTCGATTTGGCTTCTCGCATGTGAGGACATCTTCAAGTGGTGATTGTATCTCGATTTGGCTTCTCGCGTGTGAACTCTCATGTGAATGTTCATTGATGTATGAGAGGTTGAACTTGACGAGTACTTGGCTCATTTCACACCAGTACCTCCAGACCTCTTTCCCGATGCAGATTTGCATTGCATGCCAAGCAAAACTGAACCGTCAGCGCAATACTTATTGGCTGGTGCTGCCAGCTATTTTGGCTAGATGGCACTGTTTATGTGAAGAACCTGGATTGACACAATTTCAATTCTCAAGTTTGCATGGGTGAGGTGCTGGTGGTTTATAAACTTTAAGCCTTAAAACAAAACAAAAAAAAAAACACTCGTGATGCCATGATGGTGGGGCATTCTGTTGCGAGGAAAATGAGAGAGAGCGATATGACAGAAATCCAGAAAGAAAAATCACATTGAAAGCCAGCAAGTCCAACACTGTCCAGAAAGCAGAAATGCACTGATATTCCACCAACAGATAACCAAAGCACTGAATCTGAATGTCAATGAGACTCTTTATGAAAGCATACTCTCGCCACCACCAACATATGTACCCAGAGTCCTTCCTCCCACTTGCACTCAGCGCCCAGACTACTACTACACAGCCTACTTGCAGCCTACAAATTGACAATGCATCCAGTTGACATCAGCAGTCGACCCTTGTAGACCATCCCCAAGACCAGGTACGTTCCCTCACATCATCAACCTCATCTCTCTCTCTCTCTCTCTCTCTCTCTCTCTCTCTCCCTCGACCTTCTCACCCACGTCTTCACCCTCAAACACGAAGACCACCACCACCTCCACTGGCTATATCCAAGCCAAGACTGGCTATGGGGGCTGGCTATGGCGCTGCCCTCAGCAGCGCCCTGCAACCTGCACGTCTGCGTGTGCATGCAGCACCAGCGATAGCGCAGCAAGCAGCCCACGAGCGATCGCTCCAGCAGCGCTTGCAAGTGCCTGAATATCTCGTCTGGAGTCCAGCCCTTTCCTATATGGAAAGTGGCGGGCGCTTTCCACTTGCTTCCCACATGAGACTGAGTTTCCAGTAGCTTCAGTCTCGGCCAACGTGTCTGCGCCCAGGCCCGTTCAGACAGTGGCCTGGGACCGAATTGGTTAGGCTTGCAGAACCGCCCAGGCACAAACGTCCGGTGCTCCCTGCTTAGACCACGTTGCTGGAAGAGCCTGGAAGGCCGCGAATATTCTGGATTCTCACGAGCAAGGCAGATGTAGCCAACTGGCGAGTGGCAACTGTCTGGCACCCACCAAGATTTGCAAACATTGACGAACTCAGGGCACATTGGGATTCAGGGGGGCCGCCTTCACTTAGGGCTTGCATGCCGCTGCTGCAAGGCCCTAGCCGAGGGGTAAACCCTTGCACTGTGACATATGAAAAAGAGGCCTTATGGTCCTGGCTCCATATCCATTCTGGGGAGAAGCATCAGTCCAGTCCCTATTCCACCGGCAAGTCAGAACGGATTGCAATGGTTACTCACGCACGCTCCTCCCCATTATGATTGAGAGGCCCAAGTGACCAGCATTGATTACTTCCTGGACGAAGGATGTACCATCCCTCACCCCTGCCCAGGTTAGCCTGATGATATATTTTTGTCCTGCAGTACTACTAGACTGGCGTCGTCTGTATCTGTCGACTGCGACGCGTCAATGAGGTTCTGGACTAGCTTGCAAAAGTAATCACAATTAAAGCCTTGGGTCACAAGTTGGGTGCGTATTCAAATAAGGGAGAACACCTTGCAATCATGAAAACACCTGCTGTTACCATTATAGCTGCGTGAATCAGAGCTGATACTTGGGTAGGGCCCTCCATAGCGTCGGGTCCTCTCAGCTGTTTGGAGATGTGCCCAAATTTGAGTTTGGTGATGTCTCACTTTGGGGTCTCTGTGGCGAATAAAATAAAATAAATAGAGTTAGTAAGTTGAAGGGAGTTGAAGTGAGCAAATATGGGTGTGGGTCATGTGACATGATTTCATTTTTCCCATTCGATGTCGAATTCCGATTCACAAGATAGTTACCCCGGATTTTTTTGTTTTTTCTGTTTGCATTAGGGCTGTCCAGGACCTTGCCTGGGACTTTGCCCAGATATTGCCAGGCTGGGTCATTCAGGCAGACGCAGTCCATGTGGCTCGGCATGTAGCCGAACTCAGAATATTATATGCAGATGAACAAGGAAAAGTCCAGGTTAAGAGCCATAAGGCCCATAACTCACTGACATATATAACATGCAACAGGTCTGTGATCCAGGGAGATTCACTAGCAGCACCTATTTATCTCTTTATTATGGAAGCAATGGCCTACGTTTTTCACAAAGACACATCAGTCCAACGAGTGTCACAAGACTGAGAACATGGTCGTAATCAGAGCTTCAGACTCTTCCTTCGAAGTACTAACAAGAGCAATACATGCAGTCCAACTTGCCTCAGCAATGAAGATCGATTGGCCAAAAACAGTAAGCTGGTGGCTATAGCTGCTGATCCCCAGTCGAGCAGGCCACAAGCTATCCCCTCCAGGCATGACTTGGGTGGACATGATGGAACCGCTTAGATCTCTTGGCATCTAGATTACCATGACTGACCCTTCTCATTCAGTGGCACCAATGATATTAACCAGAATGCTATCCAAGCTTGGCAGCTGGTCCTACCTGGTCGAACATTTACACATCACTTTTCAGGCGAGTGCTGATCCTGACTGATTTCCATTTTCCCAAAGCTACGGTACAGAGGACCGATATGGAGTCCTGGGGCCAAGCTGAAAACACATCTAAGAAGAAAAGCAGCAGCTTTCCTTTGGACAGGTGACCCTTCTAAGCATCACTTCATCTCCAAACTGGCGTGGAAGAAATCAACTGGGGGGTAAAGAATACGAGACATGAAACCCAGATTGAAGCCTTGCAGACCAAATGGATACTGAAACTAATCTCGAACCACAAGCTTCCATGGGTAATATTTCGCCTCCAGGGGAGCAATCAATAGCGAAATATTTAACCCGGAGCAACATGCTAGGACTGTATTGGATCATGAACAAAAGATGGGCTATGAAGGGCCCAAACAAAGCAGCAATGGAGGGAGACAAAGAACAGGATCAGGGTGGCGATTACTGGAGATACCTTGGGGGAAATCCTCCCAGCCAAGGAGGGAACCAGCTGCCAAAGAAGAGGTCTTGAGACAACCAGCCTTCTACGATCAATGGATTTTGAACAACACAGGGCAAGCCATCGACACTCACTTCCAACGACAAAAGGCAGCACTTGTGGTTTGACTGCCAAAAGGGGTGGAAGACCTTCAGCGAGCTCAGCGGATCACTGAAGGTATGCCCTCACCTATAGGAAAACCTTAACGACCGAAAGTCTCAATTCCTGAAGAAGGGCTCTCCTTACTCAGAGGTTACTACCCATGGGAGTTCACGGACTAGGGTACATGGCGGGCAGACAAGGCCAGACCCGGCCCCATCGACCGCATTAGTTTTGGGAGGGAAATACTTCTTCAACACACCAAAACCCCATGTAGTGACAGCGTCAGCATCAGACTCTTTCCTAGGGAAAACATATCCAGATAGTACCCACCTGTCAAGCCGAGAATTGACGTCCAGTGAAAACATTGACTCGATCGGTGTCATTGCCTCCTTTGCAATCTAATCTTGGCATACACAGAATGCAAACAGACACATAGAGCGTACACATACTTAGTCTGCAGAAAAAAAAAAGGAACGTGAAACTGACAATCAAAAGGACATGAGACAGAGAGATTGAGAAACCATGAAGCAGATCTGGGTCTGCAGGGAAAAACTTTGAAAACATGAATCAACCTATTTCAATGAATATCATAAGAGAGAATCATCTCAATCCTTGCTGACAATGTGCAAAATGTTCATTGGCGCAATGATCTCTAGCCCGCATAAAACGAGGAGAGTCAGGAGACTCTCAATAATAAGGTAAGGAAGACCCATTGCAGCATCTAAAAACAAATCCTTCAGAGATCTCTATTGTGAGATCTAACCTTCTAATTCTTCATTTAGACACAAGGCTCATCACACAGTCCGGTTTAAGGTAATCTGCACGCAGGAGTTGTCCTCCTCCCCTTACCTACCCTCGACGGGCGACATCATATCAGGAAACAAGATGTGCAAGCTCTCACACTTCAAGGGTGCTGTTAATTACTTGCTGGACAGGACCACCCACAACAAAATCCCATCATTGAGTTGTAAGATCAGCTCTAGACTGAGAGAAGGGCAATTTTTTTCGCTTAGATACACCGCCACAACACTTCCAAGGTGCTGTCAATTACTTGCTGGGTTTATGGTGCTTGTGTGCAGAAGGACTTTCCTCCTTCCCGTAGTTGCCCCCATCCATCAACATCACATTGGAAATGTGCAAGCCCACACACATTACATTCAATTAAGACAGAAGGCAAGGTGGTGATCAACGGGGACGGGAGAAGGGAAGCAGAAAGACCAGCGACAAGGAACACGAGGAAGAAAATAAACAGGCAGGAATAGCAACAGTGCTCCAGGACTGAAAACTAGGAAAGGACATTCAGGTCAAACCTTTCCAGTCAGGTCAAGTGCTCCACTGATAATTGTTGTTTCATCATGAGTGAGCTCCCCTCCTTTGCCAGCCTGCAAAACACCAATACGAACTCAGAAAACTGCTAACGGGAAGGTGAATCCAGCTTCTTGTCACTCTTCGAAGGTGGGGCACATCGCAGCATGCAGAATCTGCTGCCGACCATCTGAGCTGGCTACATTTGCATCATGACCACGTGTAACTGCCACACATAGTATAACATTCACCCTGGAGGAGGATCAGAACTACTACTACATTTCCCGCAGAGGGAGATCCCAACCATTACATGGATGGCGCCCACGATGAGCAACTCTCCATCACCGCTCACCCTGGAGGAAGTCAGTACATGTTCTCCAACTTAGCTTGTGCATGGGCGGGGTAAGGTTTCAGCCAACACCCGCACAAATCACATCCACGCACATGCCATACTTCATCGGTCAGGCTTCATGCAGCACCGTAGGCAGGGCTGAATACACCCCCCCCCCCCCCCCCCCCCCCCCCCCCCCCCCCCTCCTTTACTCCAAGATCCAAATGTGCCATCAGATACAGGAAGTGAGAGAAATCTTGGATACAGTTCTTCTTGTTGGTTGGCACCGTGAAAAACTTTCACAACACGTGCTCACAATAGTACAGTACATTCCAAATGCTGAACATCCAACTTCTACTTGCTCTCCACTCTTATTGATTTCCTCCATTGGGTACTTGCCTCTTCATCTCATCTCACGATCTCAATCTCCCTACTTCCCTGAAATGGAGTATTTCATATTTTGGAGAGTTGGTAGAACATTACCACTTGCATTGTGCTAGTGCCCTCATCTCCCATGAAATCTAGTGCCTTCATCTCCCACGAAATCGGTTGCATAACGACGCTGCAGCAGGAACACTTGAGAGGACAGCAGGAGAGTGCATAATAAACCAATACCCTATCCACAACAAAAGGCCATTGGAAAGGTAAGACGAGGGTGGGAAAATTGGAAACAGCATGTGCACGTTCACAGGAGAGAGAAAGAGAGAGGCATGGCTGAGACCTCTCACACAGGCATGGGGGCCCCAACATCTCTTGGGGAGGCCCCTCGGGCGCCTCAGCCCTTTTGCAGCATTCTACCGGCCGAGAGGGCCACACATCATCAGGCCCCTAGGAGACCGAGTTCCCAGACAGGCGTGTGAGTGTTTTGTGTGTTCTCGGTTCAGTTTCATTCAGTGTGCATTGTTTGTGGTTGCAGCATATCTGTGCAGCTTTGTTTCGTGCCAGTTCCTTATGATCTGGTCTAGATTGTGTTTTCTCAAGATTTGTCCGAACAGGCACACACTTGTCCGGTTCAGAGATCGGGCAGGTACTGTTTCACATTTTCACCCAGCTCGTCTGTTTGTGACTGGGCCTGTGTCCGACTTTTTGTGCCAGCCCAGTTCATGGTCCAGGCCTATTCTAACTTTGATCTAGAGTGGTTGTGCTTCCAGTTTTCAGTGTTCTTATGGCCTACCCGTGGAAGTGTCAATAGCCCCACATGCACTCCTTGCCCCTACAATGCATGTGTTTCTTGTGTCATAAAATGTGTGCTTTGTGCCGAAGCAACCTGTGACGAGGCAGAGGCAGAGCAGCGAGGCTGGGAGGGAGAGGGAGAGTGAGAGCACACAGACACGCCCACTCAACTCAACGCAGACTCGACACGACTCGATGGACGCAGACACAAAGTGGCAGAAGTCTCAAAGCCGCAGTCTTGAATTCCCGAACACAATGTCGAAGCCACGTCGCACTGAACACAAGCACTGAGGCTGAAAACTTGGTGCCCGCACTGGGCTTGAGTCCGTACCCAAGTACCGGACTCAAGTACGGTCCCTACGGTGAAAGTGAAAATGCCTCAAGGGCCGGAACTGAAATCGGAAGTCTGAGAGTGGGCGCCAGAATGTTGGATAGCGCCAAGTGTCTGAAATCAGAAAGTCCCAAAAGAAGGAATTGAAAACGGGCGCCCGAATGCAGATGGCGCCAACTGTCCGAAATCAGAAAAGCAAGAGTCAAAAACAAAAAGAATTGCAAAACAAAAAAAAAAAGAAAACAAATACAGCAAGCTGGCAGGTGGTAACCCGCAGACCAAGGATCAAGCCCTGGCGGAGTCCGTAACACTATCCCCTCCCTCAAGAAGGCAACGTCCCAGCTGCCAAAAAATAATGCTGAATCCTGTGAAGGAAGGGACAGGGCCGATCACTGGGAAGCAGGAAGAAAAAGGGAGAGGGGTATAATGTGGGTAGCAAGGGCTGGGGGAAACAGGGTTTTCCTACCGATGAGCTACGTGGTATGCATACTGATGGGCTACAGAGGTCTGAACCGAGAGGGAACAGAGTTTGCCTACTAATGAACTACAGGGATTGTCCTACGGATGGACTACATGGTTATGATCTGAGGTGGGGACAGGGTTGTCGTACAGATGAACTACAGGGTTACGTTGGGCGAAAGGGTGCTGTGAGCAAAAATAAAACACGGAAGATTATTTTGCAGTGTTCGGGGGTTGAGGTTTCTGAGGATCTCGAAGTAAATGGGGTGGGGGGGGAAATCGCAGGTTCTGCAAAATGGTCTGGGTGAGAGGCTTGAAGCAGGTCTTGAGGTAAGTCCTGGTATGGATAGACAGAACGCTGATCATAAACCAGTCTCAAGCAGGCTTGCGACCTGTAGTAGCGAGGTTTCCAGCTTGAAAGAAGTAGTGTAGCAGTCCAATAGATGGAGGTCCAAGTGCCAGGGTGTGTCCGGTACACAATCCTGATGATGAAGTCTGATCCGGAGAGCAGGGCGCAGACTGATCCTGATGTCATGCCAAGAGTGCTGCTCCAGAAGTCTGCGATTCCAGGTGCCGGCCAATGGGAGAGCACGGTGGCCAACCAGCCACTTAATCTCCTCGAACTGTGCTGCAGCAGACCATCGTCCTCGTGCGCTTGCCATAAGATCCTTTATCGCCAAATGCACAGGAGCCACAGGTAAGGCTTGGACAAGAGAGACAGAGGATGTGGCAGAGGACATTGGGGAACGAGATGGGGGCAAGAGTAGATCAGACAGAGAGAGATCGAGGGCCAGGGGTTTTGCAGGGTACAGGGGGTGTGTGCAGAGCAATGAGGCAGGGTTTATGCAGGGTATATGGGTGTTATGCGTATTATAAAGCTAGGATACAGGGTGAGCACGGTCATAGGCACGAACAAGTTTCATGGCGTTCTTCAGATTATCGACAAGTTCCCATGTAGGTTCTTCATCTGGGTATCTGGTCCATTTGACTTTGTATTCAGTGATTGGTTCCGGGTGATCGGATACTTGACTTGTTCTTCGTCCTATGATAGATTCTACCATGAATTCTGGCCCGATAGGTAGCATGATTGATGGAGGTCTGGGATACGAATGGTCGGCGAATTGTGGAGGTGATTCATGGTATTCTTTCACGCACTCAACATGCAAGACAGGGTGAACATGGCTCATGTCAGGGGGTAGTTGAAGTTTGTAATTTACAGGGGATTCTTGTTCAATGACGGGGAATGGACCGAGCCACTTGTTTGAGAGTTTCTTGGACAAGCCATGTTCGGGTTCAAAGCGTTTGGCGGAGAGCCAGACTTTGTCCCCTACTTTGAATGTGATATCTCGTTTGTGCTTGTTGGTCTTGTTGGCTTGTTGTTGTTGGGTTCTTTCAAGGGCATCAGTGGCTTCTCTGAGGAGGCGCTCATTGTTGCTACCCATTCATTGAGAGACGCACATGGAGTGGATGGGTTGAGCTGTGAGAGGGGCAAGAAGCCTGAGGGCAAGCGGGGATGGTAGCCAAGGTCAAGGTAGTACGGGGAGATGCCAGTGGAAGGACAGACAACGTTGTTGTAGGCAATCTCGGCGGCGGTGAGCAACTGGTCCCAATGGTGCTGGTGTGGATGACAATACTTCCGCAGGATCCTTTGGAGAGTATTGTTCATATTTTTGGTCTGGCCATCGGTCTGGGGATGGAATGTAGTGTTGTACTTGAGAGTGGTGCCGTAGGCTTTGAACATGTTTTTCCAAAATTGGGAAGGGAAGTGAGGATCACAGTCACTGATGATGTTTTCGGGGAGACCGTGATGGCGTGCGACATGATCGAAGAAGAGTGTGGCAACGTCTTTGGCATTGTGAGAAGTGGCGCAAGGGATGAAATGGGCCCGCTTGGCCAAGCGGCAGACAATGACGTAGATGCAGTCATAGTCGCGGTCGGTCTTGGGGAGACCGCACACGAAATCCATAGAGATGGACTGCCAATAGAAGTAGCAAGAGAAGATGTGGAATGTCTTTTGGAAACCAAGGTGTCCTACGGTCTTGGCGTCGTGGTGTTCGGCCAAGAGTTTGGTATGAAGACCACGTGCGTCAGGGATACAGAGTCGGGAAATGCCTTTAGTGTTAAAGTACAAGAGGTCGGGAAGTGCCTTTAGTGTTAATGTACAAGAGGTTGTCATGGAGGGAGTAGTCGAGGATAGTGTCGAGGTTGTGAAGCTTTTTGTAGATGGTAGAGAAATCGGGGCATGAAGAGTACCCATGAGTATAACGGTGGTGGAGTGAAGGTAGTAGCTGAACACGAGTCATGGCAAAGTAGACTTTCTCAGGGGGATTCTGGTCGGGTCTTCGAGAGAGGGCATCAGCGACGCAGTTGCTTTTGCCGGGGGTGTGACCGATTGTAAATGTAAACTGGGTGAGAAAGTCTAACCATTGAGCTTGGCGGGGTGTGATATCTTTCTTCGTGAGCATGCTAGAGACGATGGTGTTGTCGGTGCGGATAGTGAAGTGTTGACCGTCGAGGTATGGCTCCAGACTTTGAGGACATGGATGACGACGAGGACTTCCTTCTCATTGGAGGGATGGTTCATCTTCGCGGAGATGAGCTTCTTGCTCGCAAATGCGATAGGATACTTGCCAGGTGGAGCCTCGGAGTGGGTGGGGAAATCCTTCATGGAGAGGGGGTCCGGGATGTTGCCGGGGAAGTGTTGGGACAGGACTGCTCCAATTGCAAAGTTTGCGGCATTTGTGATAACATAGAAGTGTCGAGACAGGTCAACAATCTTGAGG